GAGATCCTAAACACCTAAGCAGATGCTTAGGCTCATTTCGGCCTTGAGATGAATGTACGTAAGACTCAAATTATCTTTCAACCTGCCCCTGGTTCAGACACACCTCCACCATACATCCAGCTTAACGGTACTACCCTCTCTAATGTTACCCACATTCGGTATCTCGGCTCCCACCTGTCCACCACCGCAGACATCGATGAAGAGATTCAGCACCGGATCAGATGTGCATCTCAAGCCTTTGGCGGACTCCGAAACCGTGTCTTCAGCTGTAGGGAGCTGAAATTTTCTACAAAGCTGCATATATATTGAGCAGTGGTTCTCCCTACCTTGCTATATAGCAGTGAGGCATTGGTCACTTACAGGAGGCGTCTCAAGGCACTTGAAATATTTCACCAACGTAGTCTACGTTCCATCCTCCGATTTGCTGGGAAGACAAGAGAACAAATGCCAGTATTCTTGCCGACACCAACTGTAGGAGCATCGAGGCTGCCATTATCCATAAAGAGCTACGGTGGACTGGCTATGTTACCCGAATGGACGACAGTAGGCTGCCAAAGCAGCTACTTTACAGTCACCTAACGAATAGTAAAAGTAAGGCCGGCAGGCAAGTGAATAGGTATAAGGATAGTCTTTGGACAAACTTGAAAAAAGTGTCAAATCAACCCCCACACCTGGGAGTCGATTACTCCACATCGTAACGCTTGGAGGAGCACCACACGAGAAGGTGTCAATACTTTCGAGTTAGCCCGACTGCAAACCGAGGCAGACAAGCGCCAATGCCGGAAAGACGCTGCCACCGCCCCTCCTGCACTAGATGCAGCCCTCCAGATGTGCAACGAATGTGGACGACCCTGCGGGTCCCGTATCGGCCTCTTTAGTCACCTCAAAGCTCACCAACCAAGGTGACATCCCTAATAACTCATATCATTATATCATAGCCGAATGATCGTCATACTCGATCCCGAGTGACAGCAAAGTAGTTGAGGTAGTGTGGGTGTGTGTGTGTGTGTGTGTGTGTGTGTGTGTGTATTTAAGCAGATCATTAGTTTTAGGCTTTTATGTTAAATTTTATATTAATTTTCTTTGAATATAGGGCCTAGTATTATATCATGGCATTCCTTGCTGGGAAACAGCTACCGCCTGTGGTGATACTCTGACCTCTACGCCCTAGAACACAAATCCGGAGTTGCATCAGGAGAAATACTTTTCTTAAAGGGGAAGGACATTTAAACAGAATTATATATTAAAATACACAATTTGTAAAGATTAATGTTATGACGTGTGTATTGTGTTGTGGTAGGATACTGTGTGTAGGTAGGATGGATCTTGGTTACTGTAGCTAACTCCACAACTCCAGTACACATCTTCTTGTACTCAGACAAATACATTACCACCAACACTGCCATTTTAAGACGTTTGACATTACAACAGAAGTAGAGCTGTGAAAGCAAGCTAGACATAATATATCATTCCTATTCATTGTTCAGGAATGGAATCATTGAAAATCTGGTGTTGGTTAAAGGGTAAGGGATGCCTACACGAGATCATATTAAGAGGTTCTTACTCCCACGTCACCAGAGTTTCGTCTTACTATTTACAGATACAAGATTCACGCTCATAAGACCTACATGTCCAGTAAGGTTTCTGCCTGGGCTGGATAGTCTTACTAGTGTCCTGGCCAGGGCTTGTTTAGCCAAACTCATTTTACAGAGACCGTCACATTTTTGTCATGTGGCTGTCAGTGCCTTATAAATCTCATGACTGTCACTGTCACGTGTACTCCATGACTGTTACTGTCATGTGTACCCCATAACTCACTGTCACGTATACGCCATGACTGTCACTGACACGTGTTCTCCTTGACTGTTACTCTCACGTGTACTCCATGACTGTCACTGTCATGTGCACTCCATAACTCATTGTCACATGTACGCCATGACTGTCACTGTCACATGTACGCCATGACTGTCACTATCACGCGAACTCTATGACTGTCACTGTCACGTGTACGCCATCACTATCATTGGCCCTGTGTATCCCATGACTGTCATAACATCAATGTCAGGTGTAAACCACGATTGTCATGACAACACCGTCATGTGTATCCCATGACTGTCATAATATCACTGTCACGTGTACCACAAGACTGTCACAACATTTTCAAGTGTACAACATGGATGCCACAACACTATCTCGTGTACAGTTTGACTGTCACAACACTGTCACGTGTACAACATGGATGTCACAACACTGTCACGTGTTCAGCATGACTGTCACAACAGTCACAAGTACAATATGGCTGTCACAACACTGTCTCGTGTACAGCATGTCTGTCACAACACTGTCTCGTGTACAGCATGTCTGTCACAACACTGTCTCGTGTACAGCATGACTGTCACAACACTGTCTCGTGTACAGCATGACTGTCACAACACTGTCTCGTGTACAGCATGTCTGTCACAACACTGTCTCGTGTACAGCATGACTGTCACAAAACTGTCTCGTGTACAGCATGTCTGTCACAACACTGTCTCGTGCACAGCATGACTGTCACAATATTGTCTCGTGTAGAATAAACTATCACAACAACACAAACCTCAGAAATATTTCTGAAGCAGCATTTAATTACCAGATTATTAAATGAACCGAAGAGGTCACGTTGTGGCGGTCACTATGTTGTGTCATTGTGGAGGTCACTATGTTGTGCCATTGTGGTGGTCACTATGAGGTGGTCACTATGTGGTGGTCACTATGTTGTGTCATTGTGGTGGTCACTATGTTGTGTCATAGTGGTGCTCACTATGAGGTGGTCACTATGTGGTGGTCACTATGAGGTGTTCACTATGTGGTGGGCATTAGGAGGTGGTCACTATGAGGTGGTCACTATGAGGTGGTCACTATGAGGTGGTCACTATGTGGTGGTCAATATGTTGTGTCGTTGTGGTGGTCACTATGAGGTGGTCATTGTGTGGTGGTCACTATCAGGTGGTCACTATCAGGTGAACACTATGTGGTGGTCAATATGGGGTAGTCGGTATGAGGTGGTCACTATGGGGTGGTCACTGTGGTGGTCACTATGGTCACTGTGGTGGTCACTATGGTGGTCACTGTGGTGGTCATTATGTGGTGGTCACTATGTGGTGGTCACTATGGTGGTCACTATATTGTGTCAATATGGTGTCACTATGTGGTGGTGGTCACTATGAGGTGGTCACTATGTTATGTCATTGTGGTGGTCACTATGTGGTGGTCACTGTGGTGGTCACTATGTGGTAGTCACTATGTTGTGTCATTGTGGTGGTCATTCTGTGGTGGTCAATATGTGGTGGTCACTATGTGGTGGTCACTATGGTGGTCACTATGGTGGTCACTGTGTGGTGGTAACTGTGGTGGTCACTGTGGTGGTCACTGTGTGGTGGTCACTGTGTGGTGGTCACTATGTGGTGGTCACTGTGGTGGTCACTGTAGTGGTCACTGTGGTGGTCTCTGTGGTGGTCACTTTGGTGGTCACTATGTGGTGGTCACTGTGGTGGTCACTGTGGTGGTCACTGTGGTCACTATGTGGTGGTCAATGTTGTGGTCACTATGTAGTGGTCACTGTGGTGGTCACTGTGGTGGTTCTATGTAGCGGTGTGGTGGTCACTGTGGTGGACTTTGTGGTGGTCACTGTAGTGGTCACTGTGGTGGTCACTGTGGTGGTCACGTTAGTGGTCACTATGTGGTGGTCACTGGTGTGGTCACTATGTGGTGGTTCACTATGGGGTGGTTACTATGTGGTGGACACTGTGGTGATCACTATCTGGTGGTCACTTTGGTGGTTCCTATGTGGTGGTCACTATGCGGTGGTCACTATGTGGTGGTCACTGTGGTGGTTACTATGTGGTGGTCACTATGCGGTGGTCACTATGTGGTGGTCACTGTTGTGGTTACTATGTGGTGGTCACTATATGGGTTGCGATATAGATTATCTTGTTAATCACCATGTGTGTTATTATGTGGGTCACCTTGTGGGTCACCATGCGTGTCTCCATGTGGGTCTCCATGTGGATCACTATGTGGGTCTTCGTGTGCGTCATCGTGTGCGTCACCATGCGGGTCACTATGTGGGTCACTATGTGGGTCATCATGTGCGTCACCGTGTACGTCACCTTGTGCTTCACCATGTGGGTCACTTTGTGGGTCATCATGTGTGTCACCGTGTGCGTCACCATGTGCATCACTATGGTGAGAGGTCCAGGATAAAGAAACATTCTATTCGCCAGGTGTGATAATCACCAACACGGGCTGAACACTGACAGACAACTATGTTTTCAAGTGCATCAAATAAACTGTGGCGGGTTAACCAGTGCGTCATGATAATCAATGTCAGCCTTGGTTCTTATGTTATATATTCATCTTCGTACACATTGCTGAAATCCGTGTTCCATACACAAATAGACACTTGCTATTATAGATTTGTGTAAACAAAGTTATACTCTTTCTTCTACAAGGCTCGCCCTCCCTGTATCTGCATGCCTATCCTTTCCCTGTTCACGCGCCCCAAGTACTTTATAGGGTAGATCTACGCCTCCCTTTTCTTACTTTCTAATTCGCAAGAAAGAGGAAGTTTTGGATATCTTACACAACTAGTCCTCTTCTCAAAGACTAGTGTCTCCTATGTTATCAGTAAGTCTAGATGTACAGGTACTCCACGTGCCCAGGGTCAACAAAATCCTCCTATGCTCCACCTGTTCAACACTCGCCTCCAAGATTTAAATTAAATGTAAAAGTCCTCTATTGGACACCATTACAGGAAGTAAAAAATTCTCATGAAACTATTGTATTTTTCCCACACGAACACTGAGGATCCTTGCCACACACACACACAGACAGGTGACTTCAGTTTACTTAAGATACTATTCGTTCAAGATCGCGTTAGATATAAAGCTAAGACGTGCCGCACTAAATTATTGGGAGTAAGTAACAGGAGTTTCAAAGCAAAAAAATTACTGTAAGTGCTCTTTTCCAAACGATTTTTATTTTTATCTGTATGTAACAAATTGTTGGCAGGCAAAAATGAAGTAACTTGCATCCTATTAAAACCCAATATTTTATGTAATTCATACTAATTATCTGTAACTTAGACGTCTATAACCACGAGCAACAATTAGGAATGACGTGGAGCTTCCATTAGCTGCCTCTCACCCCCTTACGTATGCGGCACCTACTGTTTGTAAACTATTATGTAGCCATAAAAGAAGTTAGTAAGCTTTCCTCAAGTAATACTACTCTCAGATAAAAGCAACATCGTCTATACATAACAAACTTATTAAATAATCATTATACAAATCTAAGTCTATACGAGTTCTTGCTCAAAATCATAAACTTAACGTTCAAAGTTAACAAGACTGCCTGAATTTCAATGACAAGGACATTTAAGGTGATTGGGGTATATTCTAAGCAACTTTAACTGTTGCCAGAAAGTAATACTTTTTGCCAGTGGTGAGTAAGATGGGCAGTGTGATAAGGCGTCACCAGGCGGCTTCTCGCACGACACCAAGACTCTTCCTGTCAACACTACAACCTACGCTAGCGGTAACTACTGTACGACGAGGTTACAAGGCTTGCCAGGTCTTACCTACGTATTTTTAAACTGTATTTTTGAAGTCATTTGTCAAGTCACATATCAACTTACACACTAGACAATAACATGAATGTTAAAAGATCAATGGAGTGACAAGAACGTACGGCCACAGCTGCCTGGCTAGCGGGTCGGGTATGACTTGTTGATCGTACAAGATATGTAATATTGTGTGCACATCCACTTCCGTTAAGCAAGTTTTATCGAAGACTGAATAAGGCTTTTATGATTGTTTTAAATCACTAAGTTTGTTATAGACCTTAAAATAACCAGACAATATACGTCACGCACCGTGGACGGTTGACAGGCAATGGTTCATCTGCTATTTATAACAAGTTTTATAACTTTGCTCAACTGGAAATGAGACTCTTCGCTCTTGTAACTCTTCTGGATGAGTACTGAGGGTCTCAGGCCAGAGATCTGATACTAGCAGCAGAGAATTACTAAGTGGCAGGTTCCCGAGGCCAGCGAAACTGCTCCTTGCCCTGCCGCTGCTGGCCTGCCCAAGCTTGGGTTGTGGTCTGCCGGCAAGGTGTAGCCTTGATCTCCCACACGGGTAGTTCTGGACACAGCAGTGAACAGCAAGGATGGGGCACTTTGATTTCGACCGGCATGCCACATTGTCTCATGTTTCTTATTAATGGATGGAGATACCAATCCTCCAGATTAGAGGACAAACAGTGCAAAGGTTGGTAGTATTTTTTTTTTTAATTAAGACACCAGCAAGTTGTAATGAGTTTCGTCTAAAACAACAGGTTAGATGTATGAGTATTCAGCGTCGTCCAGTCTCCCCTAGAGGATCATCTTTATAGATATAACCTTGTATGATGCGTCAAATAAGATCATAAAGACTAAATTTAGTGAGAGCAGATAGTAAATACGTTTTCCGGCAGACCACTCCAGCCTCGGTGGCTGGGGTTACTAGCGTGAGGCCGGTGCAGTGGTGGCTGTACGTTGTGCCTGTTGCACTCCTTTACACAAAACAACAACAATTATACACTCAGATTAACGGAATGGATTGTATGGATTGCTTGATATATATATCTTGTTGTTTGCAGGTGCAGGCTGTTGAGGAGCATTGTTGGTTGAAGGGCGGTTGGGGGTGGGTTCTCCACGGCTGGTGCCTGTAGGAGAGGCCAAGAAATCTGCAGTGGGAACTGTGACTGGCTGTGCGGTGGCAGGAGAGAGGGAGTGGGCGGTGGGAGGGGTGACAGTATTTGTCCCGGGCTGGGTGGACGGGTCTGATGTCACATGTAGTTCTATCTCACCATCGTCCCCTGTCCCCACCGTGCTCTTCTTGATCCCGTAGTAGAAGTAGATGATGAAACCTGCCGGCAAAACACACATGGTTATCTATATTTATGATGGTAAGTAAACCGGTCAATTAAATAAAACTTCTTGGCAGACAAAAGTAGATGAAAATTAAATATAACCTTTAAAGACATGTGAGTGAGATTAATTTTTTACACTAGAAAACGTCATATATTGGCATTTATATAGGAATATGAGAATACAAATTATGAATAATTTACAGACGATAGCCTAGCATAAGAAATCTTTATAGTAATGAACAATGAGAAGTAATATGGACGATCATAGACTGCGTTTGAAAGATTCCGATTTAAACACTGCAACAACCAAAGCTGTATATTAACTATAAATATTAAATATAACAAGTATAAATACTCCATGTCCCCGAGGAGTACAATATATGTCCCTGAGGAGTACAATATATTTCCCTGATGAGTACAGTACATATCCTTGAAGAATACAGTACATGTCCCTGATGAGTACAGTATATGTCTCTAATGAGTACAGTACATGTCTCTGATGAGTACAGTACATGTCTCTAGTGAGTACAGTATATGTCTCTCATGAGTACAGTACATGTCTCTAGTGAGTACAGTATATGTCCATGATGAGTACAGTACATGTCTCCAGAGAGTACAGTACATGTCTCTAGTGAGTACTGTATATGTCCCTGATGAGTACAGTACATGTCTCTGATGAGTACAGTACATGTCTCTAGTGAGTACAGTATATGTCCCTGATGAGTACAGTACATGTCTCGGGCCGATTACAGTACATGTCCCTGATGAGTTGAGTACATGTCTCTAATGAGTAAAGTACACGTCTCTGATGAAGACAGTACATGTCCCTGATGAGCACAGTACATGTCCACGATGAGTACAGTACATGTCCCTAAAGAGTACAGCACATGTCCATGATGAGTACAGTATATAACTGATGAGTAGAGTACATGTCATGATGAGTACAATACATGACCCTGGTGAGTAGAGTACATGACCCTGATGAGTAGAGTACGTGTCCCTGATGAGTACAGTATATGTCCCTGATAAGTACAGTACACGCCATTGATGAGTACAGTACATGGTCACCGATGAGTACAGTACACGCGTCTGATAAGTACAGTACATGTCTCATGAGTACAGTACATGTCTGATGAGTACAATATATGTCTGATGAGTACAGTACAAGTCCTTGATGAGTATAGTACATGTCCCTGAGGAGTGCAGTACACGTCCCTGATGAGTACAGTACATGTCCCTGAAGAGTGCAGTACATGTCCCTGATGAGTACAGTATATGTCCCTGATGAGTACAGTATATGTCCCCGATGATTGCACTACATGTCCCTGATGAGTACAGTACATGTCCCTTACGATTGCAGTACATGTCACTGATGAGTACAGTACATGTTCCTGATGAGTACAGTACATGTCCCTAATGAGTACAGTTCATCTCTGAAGAGTACAGTTCATGTCTGAAGATTACAGTACATGTCCCTAATGAGTACAGTACATGTCCCTGATGCGTACAGAACATGTCCCTATTGATTGCAGTACATGTCCCTGATGAGTACAGTGCATGTCCCTGATGAGTCTAGTACATGTCCCTGATGAGTAGAGTACATGTCCCTCATGAGTACAGTTCATGTCCCTGATGAGTACAGCACATGTCCCTGATGAGTAAAGTACATGTCCACGATGAGTACGGTAAATGTCTCTGATAGGTACAGTATATGTCCATGATGAGTTCAGTATATATCTGATGAGTACATGTACGTATCCCAGATGAGTACAGTACTTGTCTGAAAAGTATTACATATCACTAATGAGTACAGTACATGTGCATGATGAGTACATTACACTTTCATGATGAGTACGGTACATGTCTCTATTGAGTACAGTACATGTCCCTGATGAGTACAATATATGATGATATCTACTGTAAATGTCCGTAATAAGTACAGTACATGCACCTTTTCAGTACAGTATGTGTCTGACGAGTACAGTAAATGTCTGATGAGTACAGTAAACATCCTTGATGAGTACAGTACATTTCTAATGATCACAGTACATGTACTCGATGCGTACAGCATATGTCTGATGAATACAGTATATGTCTGCTAAGTACAATACATGTCTCTGAAGAGTACATTAAATGTGCCTAATGAGTACAGTACATGTCTTAGATGAATATAGTACATGTACTCGATGAGTGCAGCATATGTCTGATGAGTACAGTACATGTCTCTGAAGAGTACAGTACATGTGTCTGATGAGCATAGTAAATGTGTGATGAGTACAGTACATGTCCATGATGAGTACAGTACAACTCCCTGATGGGTAGAGTACATTCCTCAGATGAATATAATACATGTCCCTGATGAGTGCAGTACATGTCCTGGCAAGTAAAGTATATGCCTCTGATGAGTACAGTACATCTCTGATGAGTACAGTACATGTCATTGATGAGTACAGTACATGTCCCTGATGAAACAGTACATGTCTCTGATGAGTACAGTACATATCTCTGATGAGTACAGTACATGTCTGATGAGTACAGTACATGTGTGATGAGTACAGTACATGTCCCTGATGAATGCAGTACATGTCCTTGATGAGTACAGTAAATGTCCCTGATGACAACAGTACATGTCCCTGATGAGTACAGTACATGTCCCTGATGAAACAGTACATGTTTCTGATGAGTACAGTACATATCTCTGAAGAGTACAGTACATTTCTATGATGAGTACAGTACATGTCCCTGATGTGAACAGTGCATATCTCTGATGAGTACAGTACATGTCCCTGATGAGTACAGTACATATCTCTGAAGAGTACAGTACATTTCTCTGATGAGTACAGTACATGTCCCTGATGTGAACAGTGCATATCTCTGATGAGTACAGTACATGTCTCTCATGAGTGCAGGACATGTCTGATGAGTACAGTACATGTCCCTGATGTGAACATTGCATATCTTTGATGAGTACAGTACATATCTCTAATGAGTAGAGTACATGTCCCTGATGAGTAGAGTACATGTCTCTGATGGGTAGAATACATGTCTGACGAGTACAGTACATGTCCATGATGAGTACAGTACATATCTGTAATAAGTACAGTACATGTCTCTAATGAGTACAGTACATATCCCTGATGAGTACAGTACATGTCCCTAATGAGTAAAGTAAATGTCCATGATGAGTACAGTACATGTCTGTGATAAGTACAGTACATATCTCTTATGAGTACAGTACATATCCCTGATGAGTACAGTACTTGTCCCTAATGAGTAAAGTAAATGTCCATGATGAGTACAGTACATGTCTGTGATAAGTACAGTACATATCTCTAATGAGTACAGTACATGTCCGTGATGAGTACAGTACTTGTCCCTAATGAGCAAAGTAAATGTCCATGATGAGTACAGTACATGTCTGTGATAAGTACAGTACATATCTCTAATGAGTACAGTACATGTCCCTGATGAGTACAGTACTTGTCCCTAATGAGCAAAGTAAATGTCCATGATGAGTACAGTACATGTCTGTGATAAGTACAGTACATATCTCTAATGAGTACATTACATATCCCTGATGAGTACAGTACTTGTCCCTAATGAGTAAAGTAAATGTCCCTGATTAGTACAGTACATATCCATGATGAGTACAGTATACACTGTACAGTATATCTGAATATCTGATGAGTACAGTACATGTCCCTAATGAATACATTAAATGATGATAACTACTTTAAATGTCCCTAATGAGTACAGTACATGCTCTTGATGAGTACAGTATGTGTCTGACGACTACAGTAAATGTCTGATGAGTACAGTACACGTCCTTGACGAGTACAGTCCATTTCATATGAGAACAGTACATGTACTGGATGAGTACAGTATAGGTCCCTGATGATTACAGTACATTTCTCTGATGAGTTCAGTACATGTCTGACGAGTACAGCACATGTCCCTGATGAGCACAGTACATGTCCTTTATGAATACCGTCTGATGAGTTCAGTACACTTCCCTAATGCGTACAGTACATGTCCCTGATGATTGCAGTACATGTCCCTCTTAAGTACAGTACATGTTTGATGAGTACAGTACATGTTCCTGATGAGTGCAGTATAGGTCCCTTATGAGTACAGTACATGTCCCTGACGAGTACAGTACATGTCCCTGATGAGTACAGTACATGTCCAGGGTGCGTACAGTGCATGTCTCTGATTAGTACAGTACATGTCTCTGAAGAGTACAGTTCATGTCTCTGAAGAGTAGAGCACATGTCTCTGATGAGTAGAGTACATGTCCATGATGAGTTCAATACATATATCTGATGATTACAGTACATGTCCCTGATGAGTGCATTACATGTCTCTGAAGAGTAGAGTACATGTCTCTGAAGAGTAGAGCACATATCCTTGATGAGTACAGTACATGTCCCTGATAAGTACAGTACATGTCCCTGATGAGTACAGTACATATCTCTGAAGAGTACAGTACATGTCTCTGAAGAGTAGAGTACATATCTCTGATGAGTACAGTACATGTCACTAATAAGTACAGTACATATGTTTGATGAGTACAGTATATGTCCCTGATGAGTAGAGTACATGTCTCTGATGTGTATAGTACATGTCTGATGAGTACAGTACATGTCTCTGATGGTGTACACTACACGTCCCTTTTAAGACAGTACATGCCCCTGATGAGTACAGTACAAGTTCCGATAAATGCAGTGCATGTCCCTGATGAGTACAGTACATGTTCCTGATGAGTACAGTACACGTCCCTTTTAAGTTTACATGTACCTGATGAGTACAGTATATATCCCAATAAATACAGCACATGTCCGTGATGAGTACAGTGCAGGTTCCTGATGAGTACAGTACATATTCCTGATGAGTACAGTACTTGTCCCTAATGAGTAAAGTAAATGTCCATGATGAGTACAGTACATGTCTGTGATAAGTACAGTACATATCTCTAATGAGTACAGTACATATTCCTGATGAGTACAGTACTTGTCCCTAATGAGTAAAGTAAATGTCCATGATGAGAACAGTACATGTCTGTGATAAGTACAGTACATATCTCTAATGAGTACAGTACATATCCCTGATGAGTACAGTACTTGTCCTTTATGAGTAAAGTAAATGTCCATGATGAGTATAGTAAATGTCCCTGATTAGTACAGCACATATCCATGATGAGTTCAGTATACACTGTACAGTATATCTGATGAGTACAGTACATGTCCCTAATGAATACATTAAATGATGATAACTGCTTTAAATGTCCCTAATGAGTACAGTACATGCTCTTGATGAGTACAGTATGTGTCCGACGACTACAGTAAATGTCTGATGAGTAGAGTACACGTCCTTGACGAGTACAGTCCATTTCTGATGAGAAAAGTACATGTACTTGACGAGTACAGTACATGTCCCTGATGAGCACAGTACATGTCCTTTATGAGTACAGTCTGATGAGTTCAGTACACGTCCCTGATGCGTACAGTACATGTCCCTTTTGAGTACAGTACATGTCCCTGACGAGTACAGTACATGTCCCTGATGAGTACAGTACATGTCCCTGGTGCGTACAGTACATGTCTCTGACGAGTACAGTACATGTCTCTGAAGAGTCCAGTTCATGTCTCTGAAGAGTAGAGCACATGTCCATGATGAGTACAGTACATGTCCCTGATAAGTAGAGTACATGTCCCTGATGAGTACAGTACATATCTCTGAAGAGTACAGTACCTGTCTCTGAAGAGTAGAGTACATGTCTCTGATGAGTACAGTACATGTCCCTGATAAGTACAGTACTGTACATATGTTTGATGAGTACAGTATATGTCCCTGATGAGTAGAGTACATGTCTCTGATGTGTATAGTACATGTCTGATGAGTACAGTACATGTCTCTGATGGTGTACACTGCACGTCCCTTTTAAGACAGTACATGCCCCTGATGAGTACAGTACAAGTTCCGATAAATACAGTACATGTCCCTGATGAGCACAGTACAGGTTCCTGATGAGTACAGTATATATCCCGATAAATACAGTACATGTCCCTTTTAAGTACAGTACATGTACCTGATGAGTACAGTATATATCCCGATAAATACAGTACATGTCCCTGATGAGTACAGTACAGGTTCCTGATGAGTAGAGTACATGTCCCTGATGAATACACTACAGGTTCCTGATGAGTACAGTACACGTCCATTTTAAGTACAGTGCATGTCCCTGATGAGTACCGTACATATTCTAACACATCATCAGTGGCCGTGTTCTATCATAATATCCGTGGCCATGTTCTAACATACTATAAGTGGCCATGTTCTAACATAACATCAGTGGCCATGTTCTAACATAACATCAGTGGCCATGTTTTAACATAACATCAGTGGTAATTTTTCTAATATAACATCCGTGGCCATGTTCTAGCATGACATCAGTAGCCATGTTCTAACATAACATCCGTGTCCATGTTCTAGAAAACATCCTTGGCCATGTTCTAACATAACATCAGCGGTAATATTGTACCATAACATTAGTGGCCATGTTGTAACATAACAACAGTGGCCATGTTGGAACATGACATCAGTGGCCATGTTGTTACATAACGCAAGTGGCCATGTTCTAACATGACATCAGTGGCCACGTTGTAACATAACAACAGTGGCCATATTCAAACATGACATCAGTGGCCATGTTGTTACATAACACTAGTGACCATGTTCTAGCAAAACATCAGTGGCCATGTTGTAACATAACATCAGTGGCGATGTTGTAACATAACAACAGTGGCCACGTTCTAACATAATACCAGTTGACATGTTGTAACATAACTTCAGTGGACATGCTGTAACATAACACCAGTGGCAACGTTCTAACATAACATCAGTCGCCATGTTGTAACAGCATCAGTAAACATGTTCTAACATAACATAAGTGGCCATGTTCTAACATAACATAAGTGGCCATGATCTAATTTAACATCAGTGGCCATGTTCTAACATAGCATCAGTGGCCATGTTCTATCATAACAATAGTGGCCATGATCTATACATCATGGCCATGTTCTATCATAACAATAGTGGCCATGATCTATACATCAATGGCCATCTTGTAGCATAACATCACTGGCCATGTTCTAACATAACATCAGTGGCCACGTTGTAACAGCATCAGTGACCATGTTCTAACATAACATCAGTGGCCCTAGTGTATCAGCATTAGTGATCATGTTCTAAAATAACATCAGTGGCCATGTTCTAACTTAACATCAGTGGCCATGTTGTAGGAAAACAACAGTTACAGTGTTCTGCCATAATACTGGTGGTCGTGGTTCTGCTAAAACTTAATCCAGATTTGGATCAATTAGTAATTTCAATTGAAGGTGATTGTGATTAATTACACTATTTTGAGTAACTGTAAATGTTTTTTTTAATTTTACTTTCAAATACAAACTAATTGTAATTGTAATTCGCCGTTTTTGTTTATTAAAATTACAACTACATCATGAAACTGGGGCGTTATGGAGGACTACTGAATTACTGACACAAGTAAAATAGGTGCAAATAAAGCGTCCATATTTACTTGAAACACGCTCGAGTTAATCACGTCCAATACTCGTACGCGACAGAGACAGTGAATGTACAGTAATAACGAGTTTGTCACTATGGAAAGTGTGATGTGGCATAAAATGTGTATGCTTATTACCTCAAACCTAAATATGATATTCGAACATGGGTAAAGCTTGTAATTGTAATTGTTACATGTAATTATAACTATGTATTTAAAATTGTAATTGTAATTTGAGAGTATTGTGAATCAAGTAATTATAATTGTATTTGTAATTTAAGCTTCGGAAGAGTAAATAAAATTGAAATTGTATTGACCTTAAATAGTGTAATTAATCAAAGCTTTTTGCATTAAACCAACAACTCTCGACAGTATCACCTTTCTTTCTGCTCTTATGTTTTCCATTTATGCACTGTTGAAACACTGACCACTATCATTATCTCTTATATCTCTTATCGACAAAGTAACTTTTACCCTACACTCCATGTTTATTTTTGCACCTATTTTTGTAGAGTCCATCTAAACTATTAAGAACCAGCAAGTAGTTAAAAAATAATAGAATTTCTGAGTGACCAAGGGAGGGGAAGAGAAGGATAAGTCAGATCAATCTATGTTCGAACATTAATTTTTTTATAAACATGAAACTTAAAATGTGTTTGGGAAGGTTTGGTAAGTTATATATTAAAATAATATATATTAAGGATTACAAATATGTTTTATTGTCAGGCTATGCGAGAAGGACTGTCCTGTGGATCTTAGAAATTCCTATTTGAGAGTGTTAGTTACAATAACAAGTTCGAATTAGCTTCAAGCCTCCGATAAAATTGTTATGCCTTACGATATATCGGACAATGAAATGAGGCACTTTTATGGTGAGGTATTTGACAGTTTAATAAGAGTAAAACATGGATGCTAAAGGGATATGGCTAAGGGTGTAGGAATAAAGGGAACAGGAAAGGCAATAGTGGTCTTACAGGCAATGTATTGTACATTAAGGATATTTCATAATAATAGGAAATATACAGGTATACTTGACTTTTGCGTGTCAAGTGAAAAAACACGCACAAATGAAGATAACCAGAAAATTTCAGATTATCAAGAGGAATAATAGAGAATTGCATAACTAATAATTGGAAAACCATCGGAGTATATGTTGCAGTAAAGGTGAACTAAACGCGGAACACTACAGACTCGTAACTAGCAGCTTATTTACCGAGTCATCTACATTGAACGTCTCTTAAATTCTGCATAGCTATCAATAAATGCCGCTTGCAGAAGGAAGGAGGCAGAATCACTGCCATCCTTAGTAACCATAGACTTATATTAATATGTATTTTTTTAACATTTTCGCGTTAGAGATGAGATGCAAATAAGAATATGTACAGTACATACGAGTCATTATAAATTTGTAGAGGGTAAAGATTGCGCAGCCCCATTTTTATCCATGAAGATGTTATCTGAAAATAAATTTTATTTATATAAAATTTATTGATCATCACAGAAGTTAAAATATATAACAAGAGGAAATACCTGACATGCCAGAAGAAATTTAAGACTTGGTTGGATTAATTAATATAATATGGCGTTATGTCCGAACCTGGAAGACAACATACAAACTAACCTTAAAAACGGGGGGTTGGGCTAAACGAGCAGAAAACTTTTATTAATATAAAAAAGCCAATTTACTCACATAGCCCCAATTAAACAAAGACAGTACATGGCAATAAACATTTAAAGGGAAATTAAACAATGCAACAATTTGAATATATCAATTACCCGCACAAACATAACGTTAGGTTGCAGAAGCAACCGTTATATTAAAGTAATACTTACAAAAGCGTCTTTTAAAACCTGACGCACAGTTTTACAAATAAAAAAAAAAAATGCAAACCGAAGATTCCATTTACAAAAGCAGCCCTGCACAGATGATACACTAACCATCACCAGGAACTCACTGGAAACACTAGACACACGAAGGACGGATTTTAATACAGCAAGAACCACACGTAATGTAACAAAAGTTTAACAAGAAAATGCGAAAACATCCGGAGTCATACAGCTACGAGACAGAAAAAACAAATGAATATAACAACAGACAAAATCGAAATATAATATTAGACTAAGTACGCTTGGGGGGAATCAACATTGGAGTCTCTCAATCCAATCTCACGGTATTACAAGAAGAAAGCAGGGAAGGGATACCACGAGAAACTGAATTATCAGGTAAAGAAACGGTGAGTATTTATGTTACGTGCAAACAAACATGGGTGTGGAAATTGAGAAGTACCTAACACCTTGGTGTAACATGAGATAGAGAAGGAGGCTTCGTCAACTTCACTCACCAATTGTCATCCAGAAAACGAAGCGAATAAGGGTGAGGATGGAGAGCTTGAAGATGAGGTAAACGTTGATGATGATGGCGACGGCCGGCACCCAGGGCAGCCCTGGCGCAAGGAACGGCAGCGACCTCCTGCAACATACACAGCACCGTCACTTACTGCTCCAACACACACAGCACCGTCACTTACTGCTGCAACGCACACAGCGCCGTCACTTACTGCTCCAACACACACAGCACCGCCACTTACTACTCCAACACACACACACAGCACCGTCACTTATTGCTCCAACACACACAACACCGTTACTTACTGCTCCAACACACAAAGCACCATCACTTACTGCTCCAACACAAACAGCGCCATCACTTACTGCTCCAACACAGACAACACCATCACTTACTGCTCCAACACACACAACACCATCACTTACTGTCCAACACACACAACGTCACTTACTGCTCCAACACACACACACAGCACCGCCATTTACTGCTCCAACACACACACACAGCACCATCACTTACTGTTCAACACACACAGCACCATCACTTACTGCTCAACACACACACAGCACTCTCATTTACTGCCCAACACACACAGCACTCACTTAATGCTCCAACAAAGACAGCACTATCACTTACTGTCCAACACACACAGCACCGTCACTTACTGCTCCAACACACACAGCACCGTCAATTATTGCTCCAACACACACAGCTCAATCACTCACTGCCCCAACACACAAAGCACCATCACTTACTGCTCCAACACACACAGCACCGTCACTTACTGCTCCAACGCAACAGCACAGTCACATACTGCCCAACACAAACAGCAGAGTCACTTACTGTCCAACATACACAGCACCGCTACTTACTGCTCCAACACACAGCACCGTTACTTGCTGCTCCAACATACACAGCACCGTTACTTACGTCTAACACACACAGCACCGTTACTGCTGCTCCAACACACACAGCACCGTTACTTGCTGTCCAACATACACACAGCACCATCACTTACTGTTCCAACACACACAGCACCGTTTCCTACTGCTCTAACATACACAGCACCTTTACTTACTGCTCCAACACACACAGCACCGTTACTTACTGCTCAAACACACAGCACCGTTACTTACTGCTCCAACACACACAGCACAGTCACTTACTGCTGCAACACACAGCACCGTCACTACTGATCCAACAAACACAGCACAGTCACTTACTGCTCCATCGCACGCACAGCACCGCCACTTACTGCTCCAACACACACAGCACCGTTACTTACAGCTCCAACACACACAGCACCGTTACTTGCTGCACCAACATACACACAGCACCGTCACTTACTGCCCAACACACACAGCACCGTTACATAATGCTCCAACATACACAGCACCGTTACTTACTGCTCCAACACACACACAGAACCGTTACTTACTGTCCAACACACACAGCACCGTCATACTGCTCCAACATACACACAGCACCATCATACTGCTCCATCACACACACAGCACCGTCACTTACTGCCCTAACCACACAGCACCGTTACTTACTGCTCCAACACACAGAGACCGTTACTTACTGCTCAACACACACAGCACCGTCACTTACTGCTCCATCATACACACAGCACCATCACTTACTGCTCCATCTCACACACAGCACCGTCACTTACTGCTCTAACACACACAGCACCGGTTACTTACTGCTCCAACACACAGCACAGTCACTTACTGCCACACACACAGCACCATCACCTTACTGCTCCAACACACACAGCACAGTCACTTACTGCTCCATCACACGCACAGCACCGCCGCTTACTGCTCCATCACACACAGCACAGTTACTTACTGCTCCAACACACACAGCACCGTCTCTTACTGCTCCAACACACACAGCAACATCACTTACTGCTCCATCACACGCACAGCACCGCCACTTACTGCTACACAACACACACAGCACCGTTACTTACTGCTCAACACACACAGAACCGTTACCTGCTCAACACACACAGCGCACAGTCACTTACTGCTCCAACACACACAGCACCGTCACACTTACTGCTCCAACACACACAGCACAGTCACTTACTGCTCCATCACGCACAGCACCCCTTACTGCTCCAACTCAAACAGCACCGTTACTTGCTGCTCAACATACACAGCACCGTTGCTTACTGCTCCAACACACACAGCACCGTTACCTACTGCTCCAACATACACACAGCGCAACACTTACTGCTCAAACACACACAGCACCGTTACCTGCTCAACACACACAGCACTGTCACTTACCGCTCCAACACACACAGCACCGTCACTTACTGCTCAACACAAACAGCACAGTCACATACTGCTCCAACACAAACAGCACGTTACTTGCTGCTCCAACATACACAGCACCGTTACTTGCTCCAACACACACAGCACCGTTACCTACTGCTCCAACATACACAGCACCTTTACTTACTGCTCCAACACACACAGCACCGTTATACTGTCAAACACACACAGCACCGTTACTTACTGCTCCAACACACACAGCACAGTCACTTACTGCTGCAACACACAGAGCACCTCACTTACTGCTCCAACACACACAGCACCGTTACTACTGCTCCAACACACACAGCACCGTTACTTGCTGCACCAACATACACACAGCACCGTCACTTACTGCTCCAACACACACAGCACCGTTATACTGCTAACACACACAGCACCGTTATTTACTGCTCAACACACAGAGAACCGTTACTGCTACCAACACACACGCAGCACGTCATACTGCTCCAACATACACGCAGCACCATCACCTGCTCCATCACACACACAGCACCGTCACTTACTGCTCTAACACACACAGCCACCGTTGCTTCACTGCTCAAACCACACAGCACAGTCATACTGCTCCAACACGCACAGCACCGTCACTACTGCTCCAACACACACAGCACAGTCACTTATTTATCCATCACACACAGGCACCCTTACTGCTCAACACATACAGCACCGTTTCTTGCACCCAACACTCACAGCACCGTCACTTACTGTCAACACACACAGCACCATCACTTACTGCTCCATCACACGCACAGCACCGCCACTTACTGCTCCAACACACACAGCACCGTCACTTACTGCTCCAACACACACAACCTGATCTTTACTGCTCCAACACACACAGCACCATCACCTGCTCCATCACACGCACAGCACCGTCATTTACTGCTCCAACACACACAACACCGTGCTTACTGCTCCACACACACAGCACAGGCCCCTGCTCAACAAACACATCACCGTCACTTACTGCTCCATCACACACAGCACCGTTACTTGCTGCTCAACATACAACACCGTTACTTACTGCTCAACACACAGAGCACCGTTATAATGTCAAACACACACCGCACCATCACTTACTGCTCCAACACACAGCTCCGTCACTTACTGCTCAATACACACAGCACCGTCACTTCCTGCTCCAACACACACAACACCGTCACTTACTGCTCCAAAACAAACAGCACAGTCACTTACTGCTCAACACACACAGCACCGTCACTTCACTCCAAAACAAACGCACGTCACTTACTGCTCAACATACACAGCACCGTTACTTACTGCTCCAACACAGAGCACCGTTACTTGCTGCTCCAACATACAGAGCACCGTTACTTACTGCTCAACACACAGCACCGTTGTAATGTCAAACACACACGCACCATCACCTGCTCCAACACACAGCACCGCCACCTGCTCAACAAACACAGCACCGTCACTTACTGCTCCATCACACGCACAGCACCGTCATTTACTGCTCAACACACACAGCACCGTCATAATGCTCAACACACACAGCTCCATCACTTACTGCTCCAACACACACAGCACCATCACTTACTGCTCCAAGACACATAGCACCATCACTTACTGCTCCAACACACACACAGCGCTCACTTACTGCTCCAACACAAACAGCACAGTCACTTACTGCTCCAACACAAACCTGCAGGTCACTTACTGCTCCAACATACACAGCACCGTTACTTACTGCTCCAACACACAGAACCGTTACTTACTGCTCCAACACACACAGCACCCTTATTTGCTGCTCCAACACACACAGCACCGTTACTTACTGTCCAACATACACACAGCACCATCACTTACTGTTCCAACACACACAGCACCGTCACTTACTGTCCAACACACACAGCACCATCACTTACTGCTCCATCACACGCACAGCACCGTTATTTACTGCTGCAACACACACACAACACCGTCACCTGCTCCAACACACAGCACCGCTACTTACTGCTCCAACACACACAGCACCGTCACTTGCTACCAACACACACAGCACCGTCATAATGTCCAACACACAGGGCTCCATCACCTGCTCAACACACAGCACCGTTATACTGCTCCAACATACACAACACGTTACTTGCTGTCAACATACACAGCACCTTTCTGTTATTGCTCAACACACACAGCACCGTTACTTACTGCTGCAACATACACAGCACCGTTACTTACTGCTCAACACACAGAGAACCGCTACTTACTGCTCCAACACACATAGCACCGTTACTTGCACTGTCCAACATACACAGCACCGTTACTTATTCTCCAACACACAGAGAACCGTTACTTACTGCTCAACACACACAGCACCGTCACTTACTGCTCCAACATACACACAGCACCATCACTTGCTCCACCATCACACACACAGCACCGTCACTTACTGCTCTAACACACACAGCACCGTTGCCTGCTCAAACACACACAACACAGTCACATTGCTCCAACACACAGAGCACCGTCACACTTACTGCTCCAAACACACAGCACAGTCCTTGCTGCTCCATCACACGCGCACCACCGCTTATTGCTCCAACACATACAGCACCGTTGCTTGCTGCTCCAACACTCACAGCACCGTCACTTACTGCTCCAACACACACAGCACCATCACTTACTGCTCCATCACACGCACAGCACCGCCACTTACTGCTCCAACACACACAGCACCGTCACTTACTGCTCCAACACACACAGCACCGTCACTTACTGCTCCAACACACACAGCACCATCACTTA